AGATACCATGCATGTGCCATTCACAATAGGGCTCATGCTCCTAGGAGAATCTAATGCCACCACTGATCGGACAGAAGGTAGAGCTCAGGCGGTAAAAAGGGATGGGGAACAGCTGGAAATATAGATGAAGCTTCCATCATCAACCATTCACTTCCTGCTGTGTAGCCCAGTTCCTAACAGGCCACAGACCAGTACTGGCTCCACAGCCCAGAGTTGGGGACCCCTGACTTAAACTAAGGGCCAGGTTTCCAGAGTGACATCCACTTTAGAGGCTTGTTGAGTGCGTTAAATCAAAATGTTGGTATACTTGGCCTGGCGCAGTGGTTCACACCTGTAATCCCAGCACTTTGGGAGTCTGAGGAGGGTGGATCACCTTAGGTGAGGAGTTCAAGACCAGCCTGGCCAATATGATGAAACCCAATCTCTACTAAAAATACAAAAAATTAGCAGGCGTGGTGGCAGTCACCTGTAATCCCAGCTACTTGGGAGGCTGAAGCAAGAGATTTGTTTGAACCTGGGAGGTGGAGGTTGCAGTGAGCTGAGATTGCACCATTGCACTCCAACCTGGGCAACAAGAGTGGAAACTTCGTCTCAAAAACAAAGCAAAACCAAACAAAAAATGTTGGTATACTGTTGGAACATTATAATGCACAACTAATTTTGTTTCTTGTCCTGCTCTCCTTCCACCACTTACTTTCTCTATGTAAGTCATTTGTTCCTGGGCCTCAAGGCAGTTCCTTGCTCTAACCAGTTTGCCTCTACTAGTCCATAGTAGAGGACTTGGTGTGGCCGAATGAGTAAATATCAATTATGGTCATTTATAAGAACCATTACCCAAATATGCCTACTTATTCTGTGGGAAGTAGAAAAGTTCCTTTTTAAAGTTTCTTTTCTTTTTTTTTTTTTTTGAGACGGAGTTTCGCTCTTGTTACCCAGGCTGGAGTGCAATGGCGCGATCTCGGCTCACGGCAACCTCCGCCTCCTGGGTTCAGGCAATTCTCCTGCCTCAGCCTCCTGAGTAGCTGGGATTACAGGCATGCGCCACCATGCCCAGCTAATTTTTTGTAGTTTTAATAGAGACGGGGTTTCACCATGTTGACCAGGATGGTCTCGATCTGTTGACCTCGTGATCCACCCGCCTCAGCCTCCCAAAGTGCTGGGATTACAGGCGTGAGCCACCGCGCCCGGCCTAAAGTTTCTTTTCTTGTTAAAGAATAAGTGTGCTAATAACTTTGTTAAGCCCTATCCTATGTAGTTGTTAGACATGCCATACTTACAGGCACGTAGTACATTCTATGTCCTTGTACTTTAACCAAGACATCTGTGTTAGGCGTTCTCACAGGCATGTCCCAGCTCTCCATTGCTTTTACCTGTTTAGAAAATTTTAAGTTGTTAGGCAATTGGGTTTTAGTTTAAATTGTGAGGTCTGGCTCCAGCCAATGGAGATCAGACACAGCAGTAAGGAGGACCCCAAATGCATAAGGGATAAATTTGTGTGTTTTCCTTTGTTCATTGTACTCTCATGGCATGATGGGTAGCAAGGGTACCCTTCCTGCAGTCCAGGAAGTAAAAATTGTGTTGCTGAAAGATCCTTTGTCTCAGCACTAATTTTTCTTTGCGGCACCGAGCATCTATTTCCAACATATTCCAAAGCATAAGAATCATGAGGGGCAGTTCACAATTCTTGACCTCCCATGCTGTATGGGTCCTATGCCTTAACCCACAAATTAGGCTTGTCCTTAAGTAGAAGCATTGACAAAATTTTTGCTACATAGATAGTAATTTTGTGCCTGGATCACAGCAATCTTAAAAATATTGCTGACTGAATAAACTCTGTTTAGTTTTTATTTATTTATTTGTTATTTGAGATGGAGTCTCGCTCTGTCACCTAGGCTGGAGTGCAGTGGCACCATCTCAGCTCATTGCAACCTCTGCCTTTCAGGCTCAAGCAATCCTCCCACCTCAGCCTCCGAAGTATCTAGGACCACAGGCACGTGCCACCACACCTGGCTAACTCTTGTACTTTTGGTAGAGATGGGGGGTTTCTTCATGTTGGCCAGGCTGGTCTTGAGCTCCAGAGCTCAAGCAAACTGCCTGCCTAGGCCTCCCAAAGTGCTAGGATTACCGGTGTCAGCCACCACACAGGCCTTTTTTTTTTTTTTTACAAACTGCCACACTGTTTTCCGTAGAAGCTGCACTATTTTACTTTATTTCATTTTATTTTATTTTGAGACAGTCTCACTCTGTCACTCAGGCTGGAATGCAGTGGCGTGATCTCGGCTCACTGCAATCTCTGCCTCCAGGGTTCAAGTGATTCTCCTGGCTCAGCCTCCAAAGTAGCTGGGATTACAGGTGCCTGCCACCAAGCCAGGCGAATTTTTGTATTTTTAGTAGAGACAAAGTTTCTCCATGTTGACCAGGGTGGTCTCGAACTTCTCACTTCAGGTAATCTGCTTGCCTCGACCTCCCAAAGTGCTGGGATTACAGGCGTGAGCTACTGTGCTGAGCCAGCTGCACTATTTTATATTCCTACCAAGAGTGCACAAGTATTCCGATTTCTCCACATCTTCACTAACACTTGTTATTTCCTGATTTTTGATAGTCAACATCCTAATGGGTGTAAGGTGGTATCTCATTTCGGTTTTGATTTTCATTTACCTAGTGGTTAGTGTGGTTAAGCATCTTTTCATTTGGTTATTGGTCATTTCTACAATATGGTATATATTTCTTTGGAGAAATGTCTATTTTCAAGTCCTTTAACCTTTTGAGTTGCTTATTATTAAATTGTATGAGTTCTTTATATATTATAGATATTAACCCTTTATCATATATATGATTTGATAATATTTTCTCTCATTCTGTTGGTTGCCTTTTCACTATTGTCCTTTGTTTTTGAGGGGTTGTTTTTTGAGTTTTCTTTTTTTAGAGAGTTTTGTTCTTTTGGCCAGGCTGGAGTGAAGTGGTGTGATCTCAGCTCACTGCAACCTCCGCTCCCCAGATTCAAGCGACTCTCCTGCCTCAGCCTCCTGAGTAGCTGGGGTTATTATGGGCACCCGCCACCATGCCTGGCTAATTTTGTACTTTGAGTAGAGGCAGAGTTTCGCCATGTTGGCCAGGCTGTTTTTGAACTCCTGACCTCAGGTGATCCACCCACCTTGGCCTCCCAAAGTGCTAGGATTACAGGCATGAGCCACCATGCCCGGCCTATTGTGTCCTTTGATGTACAGAAAAGGACTGATGCACAGTCCTTTTCTGAATATTCACAGCACCCTTGTCAAAAATCATTTGACTATTCAGGATGCGGTAGCTAATGCAGTAATCCCAGCACTTTGGGAGGCCGAGGCGGGAGGACTGCTTGAGGCCAGGAGTTGGAGACATGCCTGGCAATTTCTCCATTTTGTCTACACACAATGTAAAAATTAGCCGGGCATGGTGGGTGGCGTGCGACTACCAGATGTCTTGACTACCCAGGAGGCTGAGGTGGGAGGATCTCTTGAGCCCAAGACGTCCAGGTTGCAGTGAACTATGATTGTGTCATTGAATTCCAGCCTGGGCGACGAAGGAGCAGACTGCCTCAAAAAAAAAAAAAAAAAAAAAAAATCATTTGACCATTTGACTGTATATGCGAAGGTTTTGTGCCATAAACTTTTGTGGCTGGTGATACAAACGACATGGTCTCTGCCTTAAGGAAGCCACAGTCAAATTAAACAGATTCCGTTTCAAGTAGCATCTGTCCCGTGTGCTCAGTCGGCACTGGGCCCATGTTTTCCCACACTTTGCCCCTTAAGCTTCTGATCTAACCAGTGAGATAGGTAGGATGATCCTCTTTAGCAGAGGGGTAAACTTAGTCCCGGGAGAGCGCAGCTGTTGCTGATGAGAGGGCGCAGACAGTCAGGATTTGAACCCAGAGTTCCTAGCTCCATGTGTCATGCTACCTCAGGTTAGATGTTCTCACCTCTAAAACGTGGGCAGAAGTAAAATGAGATGCTCTCTACTGAGCAGCTCTTCAGCTCCATGAACCTATACTTTAAAGAGTCACCAGAAGCTAGGGTAGACAAGAAAGGTGCAGGTATTAAGCATGATCGGGGTGCACAGAAGAGCAAAGCTCAAAACACCACTCCCAGCCCCGGAGGACAGAGTACTAAAGCGGCAGCTCTGCGGAGCTGAGTGGACCCGGAGTCCTCAGCCGGAACCCGGACTCGGCTGGGCTGTGCTATTGGTGCGGGTGGGGAACGCGCAACCCAAAAATGCCGGCGACGAGCTTCTTGGGACAGTTCTCGCACACAGTTTCTCTGGAGGGAGCTTGAGGGCTTCTGAGACGTCTCTAGCACTAGCCCCCTAGCATCGCTCCCATTTCCTCCCCTTCCGCGGAGGTTATTCTTCCTGGTGGCCCCTTCATTGGGTGTCCCTTTGGTACACCCCGACCCTAGCGGGGAGTGGCGCTGCGAGCGCCCGCGTAGCCACTGCGCATGCGGACCAGGCAAAGTGTAGGGTGGGCCGGGGAGGGAAGCGCTGAGCACGGACCCCGCCCCTTCGCGGTTCGGTGCGTGACGTCGCTAGGGGCGCCGGCCTCCGCCCGGCCCCGAGGGGTAAGAGCGAGTGGCCGGAGCATCCGTCGCGCGAGACCGGGAGGGGACGAGGGTGTTGCGATCGTTCGGCGGGGGGGCCTTCTGGGGAGGGGGTGCTCAGGTGCACCGGCGGCCGTGGACCCCCAGGTTCTGCCCTCCCCTCCCTTTAATCCCCTTCCAGCCGGACGGGAGACGGGACAGGGGTGAGCATTTGTGACACTTGCATTTCCGTGGCTCCCTCCTCCTCCCCGGCCCCTGTTTATCTCCTCGCCTTCCAGAAGTTCTTTCCCATCAGACTGTCGTTCCTTGCGTGGAAGCAGGAGGCGGGGTTCGACCAGACCTTGGCCCTACCCCTCCTATGTTAAAGTCCGCAGGCCTCAGTTTCCCCCATAGTATTTTTTGCCTGGCCTTACCTGGTTTTGAGGATCCTTACGGGAAAGAGAAAGGAAATGGACATTTGCTGAGTTCCTGCATGGCTAAATACCACGCAGACAGCTTCATCCGCCACGTTTAATCCTTATTTCTTGGTGTTCTCGGAAGTCCCATTTCACGGATTCCTAAGCTCACAGAGTGAGTAGCAGAAAGGGATTCATATCTAGCCATTTAGCTGCGAAGTGGAGTTCTTCTCCAGAGTCTTCCCTTGTCTGGGCTCTGGCTGGAACTGTTCCTCAGCTAAACCCTCGCCCCAGAACAGTGCTTCCTGTTTCCCTACCTGAGAAGTCTCCCTTTCGGGTTCCTTTTTCCAGCACGGAGTGCCCTGCTCTGCCTCCACTTAGGTTACTTCAGAAATGAAATGCAGAAAATATGTATCAAGCAGTGTAGGGAGGTGAACTTTTGGAGTCGAGAACCTTGGATTCTTGTTCTGGCTCTGCCACTAACTATGAGGCCTCGGGAAGTCCCTTGCCTTCTCTGAGCTTTCGCTTCTCGTTGTGTATAAGAGGTGCTCTTGTCCCATTCTCCCTCCCTGTCCTCCAGCAGGCTCTCCCTGGAGGCCCAGGCCCCTCTGCTCCCCATGGGCAACTGCCAGGCAGTGCACAACCTGCACCTTTGTCTGGCCCACCACCCACCTCTGGTCTGTGCCACTTTGATCCTGCTGCTCCTTGGCCTCTCCGGCCTGGGCCTTGGCAACTTCCTCCTCACCCACAGGACTGGCCTACGCAGCCCTGACATCCCTCAGGTAAGTTCCACCCCCTCCAAAACCCACTCTTCCTTCCAACATAGACAGGCTTTTGCTGTTAATCTCATCTCACCTGTCTCCCACCCTCCTTTTGCTTGTAGGACTGGGTCTCTTTTTTGAGATCTTTTGGCCAGCTGACCCTGTGTCCCAGGAATGGGACAGTCACAGGGAAGTGGCGAGGGTCTCACGTCGTGGGCTTACTGACCACCTTGAACTTCGGAGACAGTCCAGACAGGAACAAGACCCGGACATTCCAGGCCACTGTCCTGGGTAGTCAGATGGGATTGAAAGGTGAGATCAGAGGCTGCGGTGGCTGACACCTGCAAGTAATCCCAGCATGTTGGGAGACCAAGGTGGGCAGATCATGTGAGGACAGGAGTTTTAGAATAGCCTGGCCAACATGGTGAAACCCCATCTCTACTAAAAATACAAAAATTAGCCGGGCATGATGGCAGGCACCTGTAATCCCAACTACTCAGGAGGCTGAGCCAGGAAAATCGCTTGAACCCAGGAGGCAGAGGTTGCAGTGAACTGAGATTGTGCTGCTGCACTCCAGCCTGGGTGACAGAGTGAGACTCTGTCTCAAAACAAATTAAAAATTGGCCAGTCGCGATGGCTCACACCTGTAATCCCAGCACTCTGGAAGGCCAAGGAGGGCGGATCACAAGGTCAGGAGTTTGAGACCAGCCTGGCCAACATGGTGAACGCTGTCTCTACCAGAAATAAAAAAATTAGCCAGGCGTAGTGGCGTGTACCTGTAGTCCCAGCTACTCAGGAGGCTGAGGCAGAAGAATCACTTGAACCTGGGAGGCAGAGAGGTTGCAGTGAGCCGAGATTGTGCCACTGCACTCCAGCCTGGATGACAGAGCAAGACTCCATCTCAAAAAAAAAAATTAAAAAAAAAATAAATAAATAAAAACAAAATTTAGCCAGGTGTGGTGGTGGGTGCCTATAGTCCCAGTTACTTAGGAGGCTTAGGCAGGAGAATTGCTTGAACCCGGGAGGCAGTTGTAGTGAGCAGAGATCACACGACTGTACTCTAGCCTGGGTGACAGACAGAGAGAGACTGTCTCAAAAGAAAAGTTAAAGGTGGGATCAGAGAGGACTGTGGGGTCGGGCATCAGAACACTCAGGGCTGGGACCTGCCTCTGACCCCACCAATGATGACCTTGGGCACATCCCTGGACTTTAGTCACTTCTGTGATTAGGGCTTTCAGTGAACATGCTGCCAACAAGGTAGGTTTTCTACAAATACTTTCTTCCTCTGCCAGTTCAGACGTTCTCTGAGTCTTTTCCTTGGAGGGCTGATGAGATAGGCTAGGTTTGACCTAATGTTTCTCATCCTTTACCCACCTCCTTTTAGAGACACCTTCTTTTTCCTCAGGGATATCAGAGAAGCATAGTCTGTTCAATTAAACTAGTGTCATAAGGGCCTGCTATGTGCTTAGCATACTCTATATGCTACAAAGGATGCAGAAAAAAATTAGACACCACCAATTTCCAAATAGCTTATAGTCTTCTGGGAAAATGACAAGCGAGAGAGACAGAAAGTAAAAATGTCAGTAGATGCCATTAATTCCTGTGTGACATTTGGCCTTATCTAAAATATGCGGAGATAAAGAGGGAAGGAAGAGAGAGGGTGGTTTTTTCTGATTTCTGATGTCTTTTACAACACTCTCATTCTAAGATTCTCCTATGAGTACGTATGTGTTGAGGTGGAGTGGGCCTATGCATGTCTAGGTGTACATGTATGTTAACAAAAATAAAGAATGTGTCTGATATATGCAGACTTGGGACAATTTTTCCCATTCTTTTTACTCTTAAGTAGATATATAATAGTTTTATTGAGATATGATTCATATACCATTCAATTCACCCATTGAAAATATATGGTTAGGGTTGGGCGTGGTGGCTCACGCCTGTAATCCCAGCACTTTGGGAGGCCAAGGCAGGCAGATCACTTGAGCTCAGGAGTTTGAGACCAGCCTGGGCAACATGGCAAGACTCTGTTTCTACTGCAAATACAGAAAAATAGCCAGGCATGGTGGTGCACACCTGTGGTCTTAGCTACTCGGGAGACTGAGCTGGGAGGATTGCTTATACCTGGGAGGTAAAGCTTGCAGTAAGCCGAGATCATGCCACTGCACTCCAGCCAGGGTGACAGAGTGAGACCCTGTCTCAAAAAAAAAAATAAATAAATGTACCGTTAGGCCAGGTGATGGCTTGAGCTCAGAGTTTGAGACCAGCCTGGGCAACACAGTCACAAAAGTATGCAGGCATCACCACAGTCAATTTTAGATCATTTTCATCACCCGAAAAAGAAACTCTGTACCCATTAGCAGTCACTTCCTGCCACACCCCCATCTCCCAGCCCTAGGCAACCATTCATCTACTTTCTGTCTCTGTAGATTTGCCTAGCCTAGACATTTCATATAATTTCATTCCATTTCATATATAATGGTCTTTTGTGACTGGCTTCTTTCACTTGGTATGATGTTTTAAAGTTTCATTTGTGTTGTATGTAGCGGTATTTCATTTTTTTAATTTAAAATTTTTTTTTTTTTTGAGACAGTTTTGCTCTTGTCACCCAGACTGGAGTACAATGGCAAAATCTCAGCTCACTGCAACCTCCACCTCCTGGGTTCAGGTGATTTTCCTGCCTCAGCCTCCTGAACAGTTGGGATTACAGGCGCGCATCACCATGCCTGGCTATTTGTTTTCATTTTAGTAGAAATGGGGTTTCACCATGTTGGCCAGACTGGTCTCGAATGCCTGACCTTGTGATCCACCCACCTCAGCCTTGCAAAGTGCTGGGATTACAGGCATGAGCCATCTTGCCCGGCCAGTGTTTTATTTTATTTTTTACTGCTGAATAACATTCATTGTATGAACATTTCACATTTTCTTTTATTCAATCATCATGTGATTGACAGTGGGTTGTTTCCTTTTTCACTATTATGAATGATGCTGTCTTGAGTGTTCCTCAGTGTTTGCATGGCGTGTTTAATTTCTCTTGAGAATATACTTACAAGTAGAATATATAATAACACTATGTTTAATCTTTTGAGAGCTACCAAACTGTTTTCCAAAGTGACTACGCCATTTTATATTCCCACCAACATGAGGCTTCCAGTTTCTTCACATCCTCACCAACACTTGTTATCATTCATCTTTTTTATTATAGCTATCATAGCATGAAGTCTGTGGTTCTGATTTGCATTGTCTTGATGGCTGAGAAGAGTTGATAATGATTTTTCATGCATTCAGTGGTCATTTGTGTGTCTTCTTTAGAGAAATGTATTCACAGTCTTTGTCCATTTTTTAAATTGGGTAATTTGTCTTTTAGTTATTATAAGAGTTTTGTGGCCGGGCATGGTGGCTCACACCTGTTATCCCAGCACTTTGGGAGGCCAAGGTGGGAGGGTCACCTGAAGTCAGAAGTTCAAGACCAGGCTGGCTAACATGGTGAAACCCTGTTTCTACTTAGAAAAACTGAGCCAAGCATGGTGGCGTGCACCTGTAATCCCAGCTACTCAGGAAGCTGAGGCAGGAGAATTGTTTGAACCTGGGAGCTAGAGGTTGCAGTGAGTCAAGATCACACCATTGCACTCCAGCTTGGGCAACAAGAGCAAAACTGCATCTCAGGAAAAAAAAAAAAAGAGTTTTTTATACTTTCTAGATACAAGTGCCTTGTCTGAGAAATGATTTACAGATCTTTTCTTCCATTTTGTGAGTTGTTTTTTTCATATTGTTGATGGTTCTGTGAAACACAAAAGTTTTTAATTTTAATTTTAATTTTTTTTGAGACAAGAGTTATGCTCCATTATCCAGACTGGAGTGCAGTGGTGCAGTCTCAGTTCACTATAACCTCTGCCTCCCAGATTCAAGCATTCACCTGTGTTGGCCTCCCAAGTAGCTGGGATTACAGGTGTCCACCATCACACCTAGCTAATTTTTTGTACTTTTAGTAGAGACAGGGTTTCATCATATTGGCCAGGCTGGTCTTGAACTCCTGGCCTCAAGTGATCCACCTCCCTTGTCCTCCCAAAATGGTGGGATTACAGACATGAGCTAGCTACCATGCCCAGCCAAAAGTTTTTTTAATTTTGATAAAGTCCAATTTATCTATTTTTCTCCTTTGTTTCTTGTGCTGCTTTTTTGTTTGTGGGTTTTTTTTTTTCCG